AGTGGTCCGAGAGTGGAACAGGCTGCCCAGGGAGGGGGGAGTCCCCATCCCTGGGGGGGGTTTCAGGGCCGTTGGGATGAGCTGTGGGGGGATGTGGGGTAGGGGAGAACTTTGTAGAGTCGGGCTGAGGGTTGGACTCGGTGACCCCGAGGGGCTTTTCCAACCTGAATGGTTCTGGGATTCTGTGAAATACATCAGAATTTGCCAGCAAAATGCACAGAGCTCAGGATTTACACCTGAAAAGGTTTCTTGTCCTCGCATCCGTTCCCCGCTACAATACTAGGCAAACAATGGGAGAGGACAGAAACAAATAACTTCCTTTTATTCAGGCTGCAGGCCTCTTCTATCTAATTTCACCCATGTAGCACAATAGCTGAAAAGGTTTATCTGATGGTTTTTGAGTGTGGTGGTTAGCGCACGGTTTTCTGTACAATTTGCCCTGTGGAACTGGCTGGGGCCAGAGAAAAGCCCAAGGAGCCACATTAGCGCAGGTTTTAAATGTTAATTCCTTTACTGAAATGAGTAGCCTTCAAATCATGTTTTAAAACTTTAGGATGTCATGAAAGACGTAAAACATTCCAAGAAGAAATGCATTAAAATTGACAAGCCGGCTGTATGCCAAAAATTACTACAGAAAGGGAAGAAATATAGATTAATTTGTGAGCCAGAAGCTGAAGTAACTCCAGAGGTAAGTCCCTTACACAACTCTCATTTTGTGTGGTGCAGCCTCATTAGGAACATGACACAAAATGGCTTTTCCTGCACGTTCCTGGAGCAGCATTAAGGGCATTTATAACATTCATTTGCCATTGTTGCGGGAAGCATTTGCCTCTTAGAGCCTTAGAATTTTGAGATAAAATCCTGAGGCTAAAGTCAACAGCAGAACTCTGGGGAGATTGGAGTTGGGCTCAGATTTGTGCCTAAAGCCAAATACCTCTTTAGTTGATGTTTTGGGTAAATATTCATTTTTAACATGTTTACATTGTGTAGGAAATTGAATTTGTTGATGGATCGCTGTTGAAACTAAAAAGTTACATTGAAGTCTATTTGGAGAAACCCGATGACTTCACCTTGTCTTTGGTTGAGCTGGAATCTGAGGCGACTGTATGGAAAGCAAAACTAAGAGAGAGTGAGTCTTTGGTCTTCCCATGACTAGTTCGTTCCTGCCGAAAAGATGCAGGAGTTGGGGTATAATTCAGCCCTTGGATGCACCTAAGTCCCTGCTGTTAAAATCGCAAGATTTGGAGCTGGAAGTGATAAAACACAAAGAGAAGAGCCCTGGCAGGTCGTGTAGTGGGTGCTGCAGTAACCTGCATAATCCCTCGTGAGCAAACAGGCGAAGGCTTCGGGGCTGTGGGGAGTGTGGGAGGATGCTCCACGTTAGTTTTACTTCCTGGGGATAATATCCAACCTCTATTGCACGTTCGAGATGGCATGCTGCAGCGCGTTGGGTAAAAGGGGGAAGAATCATCTCATTATATAAAATCTTAGCTCAGCAGCTTGATCTTGTGCCCGAGAATTGTTGGATGTAGGGTGCAACAACGGGAATTCCTTCCTCACCTCTTGTTTCCTCTGAAAACTGTTTACCAGGTGACTGGATATATTACGATCAGAACAAAAACGAGCAGAGAAGAAGTGAAGTCGGTAGGTCCGTTGCTAGTTGGGGTTGCTTATTCTCTGTGTACCTCGCTTCTTGTTGTAGCTTGAGTGATACAAAAGAAATAACCTCGCCTCTCACTTGCTTCTTAGGTGCCCACAAACGGAAAACAGCCCTCAGCACTTCGGAAGAAGACAAGCTCTGTAGCAAAAAACAAAAGACCAGCAGTACTGCAGGTAGAGCCTTTATGTCTCATGTAAAATAACATGTTTGGGGTTTTTTTTGTTTTTTTTTTTATCCCGTGAATTGAACCTGAGTTCATTTTTTTAAAGACTTCCACGAATCTGTGCATGAAATATAGGAAGGGAAAACGCTGCTTTTGTAGATGCAGGATTTGTACCTACATTTTGTAAACTTCAGTACGCTGTTTGTCATTCGTTGGGTAAGTAAATGGGGAAAAACAGCTAGAAATTTTCTCTATGAGGGTCAGCTAAAATGGTATCGTCTTCTAAGACTGGGCAACAGTGGCTGTTCTTGAAAGAGGTTTCCACTGCGTGTCTCAGATTTTGCCTTTGGGATATCTCCTGAGCTGTAACAGGCTTTTTCTGAAAAATATCAGCTCCCCTTTATTGTTGAATTGTGATGTCCTGGTGGTCAGAAATGCTTGGTGTCTGGGAGCTGGGTTCATTCATAATAAATTACTCATTTACTAATAGTTACTTGGAAAAAAAATGCAGAAGAAATAATGTTAATTCAAGAAGTAAATGAAAAAAATCATCAGCCAAAGTAGCCATGTAGGTGTTTATTGATGGGTGCATGTTGCCACCAGAGGGAGAGCTTCCATCCCTCAAAACCTCGGGTTTATGTGTAAGTGGTGACGCGGAAAGCAGCGCGGGCTGAGACTTCAGAGCCATTGGAATTAAAGAAAAAACAAACGTCACCGTTCTGGAGCAGCCTTAGGTTTTGAGAACAGCAGGCATCTGAACTCGCCGGGAGGCAGCGAGTGCTCAGCGTGGCCTTAACGCTCTACATCACAAAATCTCTGGGTGCTCTGGAACCTGACGTACCAAAGGAGGCTCGGCTGGATGAATAGCTGCTTATAAATCAGGAGAAAACCCCTTTGCAGGAGCCAGCGTGCGGGCAGACGTTGTCATCCTCACGAGCCAGGCTTCTTAGTCCTTCAGGCGCTTTTCTCCAGCGCTTGGCTCTGACCTTGCTGGATAATCTGAATAAGAAGTTCACCTCCGTTGTACGTCCTTGGCCCCGCACAGAACTGATGGAGGCATTTAGTTACAAGTCTAACGGGAAGAGCGATGTTAAATCTGATTTTTGTTCTCTGGCTTTTCAGATGGAATCGAAACCAAAAAATTAACCGATCAACAGCTGATGGTGATCGCAAAGTTGTTCGGTAGGCAGTGGAAAGAAATTGCCATTGAGTGTCTCCAGATGGAAATGAGAGACATTGACCAGATTCAGGCAACGGAGGAAGAAGTTAATATGCAAAAATTTCTGGTGCTAAGCAAGTGGAGAGACAGGGAAAAAAGCAATGGTACCGCAGAAGCTTTGTACAGAAGTCTTTGTGAAAAAGTGTCCTATGAGATACTGCAAGCCCTAGAAGGTAACGCCTTCCCGTTACATTTATTTAATTACATCATCGTGTTTCAGATGTATTTTAAGAATTTGTATCAGTAGGTGCTTACCAAATAACCTACTACGTCTTTTACTACATGGATCAAAATTGTCTCCCTCCTGATATTCGCAATGACTTCCTTTCTTGTGGCGTTTTGATACTTCCCTTCAGAAACTGGTACCAACGTGATTTAATATTTTTGCACTGACTGCGTTGAGAGTGCTCTCAGCAGGACCTTGCCATCGTGGCCAAGCAAATCAGCATTATACACCCAAGCCAATTCTTGGTCTTCTCTGGAAGCCCTAAGAAGAGATGTTTGGGTCTTTTATGTATTTTAGGAACGGGGTAATTAACACCTTCCCCTGACGGATGACTTAGCGGTTCGGTCCTGCGGACCCATGTTTGTGTATGTATTTCCTTACTGCCCGGGGCTGCTCCCCCTCGTTTCTGTGGGCTCCTTACGTTCGGTTCACCTTCTACAAACTCAAATTGTTCAGTAAGCTGAGAACTCAGCCAGCCCGGGGGAACCTTTCTCAAAAATTAAATATACTTTTTTTTCCCTGGAACAGGCAAAACTTTGTTCTTTCTTAATTCTCCCTAAAAGCAACCCGGCTGCAAAGGGTGGAGAGCTGCTCGAGCTCCCTCGCTTCTCTGATGCTCACAGACCTGCCTGTGCCATAGCCTTCTGCTGTCTCATAGTTTTTTTAATACATTTATTAACGAACTGGAATACTGCGGTAACTTTTAGAGATCAGATAATCCAGACGTGTGTGTTCATGTTTTTTTTCCTCAGGTTTCTCAGCTCAGCGCTGAGCTGGTGAAGCCACAGCTCGAAGGAGTGTGGTGGGAGCTTCCCTGGCCAGCCGTTAACGCTTCTCCGGCCTCTTCCCCGGCATCTGGCTGAGCTTTGGGAAGGAGGATGCAAGGCATCATCACTCCGCGGAAAGTTTAGGCAGGATCTTCGCAAGAAACGTGAATGAAATTTTGCGCTGGTATCACCTAAGACTTTCAGGAGCAATTACTCACGCGGTGGATTCCGGTGTCGTGGCCGGGAGTGCCGGGCTTCGCGTACGGGGAAACCCAACCCCCCCCACCCAGCTTTGTCCCATTTGAGCCAGTTCTAAAAGACATGAACACTGGAAGAAACCAGTTCACCTTGTTCAGGTACATGACTGTTATCTGGAAACGCTTTTATTTACATCAGGGAAAGACAGGGAGACAAGTTATGCAGAAACTTTCGTCCCCTTAAAAAAAAAAACAAACACAACATTGATCTGCCAAAATCATGAGGTGCGTTGTATTTCTCACAGATGCCCAAGATCAGGGAAGAATAATCCTAAACTTGCAGATAAATTCCTTTGCGAAATCACTGCATGTATACATAATGACTGTATATACTCGTGGACATTCAATCTTTGATAAGCTGTGGTTCTGTTTTCTCAAAACCCGAAGACTGATTTCCTGGGAGCACCACTATTAACTCCAGGCAGCTTTGAATTTTCTCTGGGAATTTCTTCTTCACTCTTTTCTGTACAGTCTGTCTCAATTTTTATGTGATAGGTTTTTTTTATGTGTATATATTTTTTTTTTTACGTATTATAAACTTTTTAATACTTTTTTTTTTACTTGATTAATTTTAACTTGAATAGAATTAGGTGCTTAGGCTGAAATGGAAAAAGCGAGAATTTCTGCAAAGGCTGTTGCTCAGTTGGCAATGATCTTACTACAGAATTGGAAAGGATTTGGAAATAAGCAGCCCGATGTGGGTTTTTTAAAGATACAGGATTCTTTTGATCATCTTCCTCCGAATGTGTTTATGAAAGAAAAGGCATACTTTTAAAAAATCAGCATTAAAAAGGAGACATTTATACTATTTATGTATGATTTTTTGGATTATTTTCAAATTTTATTTTAGCTGTTGGATGAAATGTTGCACGGTTGTTGTATGTTGTGGGCCATCTTTCCAACCCTCGATGCTCTGCTGCTATGTACATCCCAGGAGTTGGCCAAGGAAAGGCGCTGTGTTGGTGCCCAGGACCTTCTGCTGACGGGGAATTTAGGGGAAAAAAAAAAAAGCTGGAAATAAGATACTTATTTGTAATAATGAGGGCGGCACCTGGCTAGCGTAGCAGATGGTGAAAAGAGATGATAAGGTCTTCAACCTTCAGGTTCTTTACATGAAAATGAGGAACCTTCTTAAAAATAGTAGATTGTATTTCTGTGGTCTTCGGTTTGGCTTTGTCCAGTTCTTGCAGGCAGAAGGAATTAAAACGTTACAGTTACGTCAGGTCACCAGGGCACCGAGGCATGAGGTTGCTCCAACCTTACAACTTGGTGGACGTTGTGGGCAGTCTGTGGGAGTGGGGACCTTGGCTCTGGTTCAGGTGGTGGGAGTTTCTAGAGCACGTGTTAAGGGCCGGCGTGGTGTGCGGGCAACACCAACGCTTGCGGAAGAGGGGAGAGGATGAGGATGGCATCTGGAAGAGCAGGGGGGTCCCCACCAGCCCCCCCGGCATCAAAGGGGGCTGCTTGGGGGTCCCCAAAGAGATGGGAGGGCAGAGCTTGGAGAAATCAAGCAAGGGGAGAAGGTGGTGGTGATGGGGTGGCGGGCAGCGTGGGAGCTGGCTGGGACACGGCCAGACTCACGGCTCGGCTGGGGGCACACCCGCCAGAGAGGGGGTGGATGGGCGCCTTCCTCTGGGCTGGCTTCAGTCCTGGGTGCAGGAACTGGGAAGATAACCCCCCCGGCATCCCCCCAAGGCTACGCATGAATCCTTGCTTCGCTGAGACAATTCAGCCACTGATTTCAGCGGGGCCAGGGTTTCGCCGCGGAAATGCTGTAACCGGCTGGAAAAATCAGTGTGAATGTGGATGAAACCCAGTGGGTCGCTTTGAGTGCTCAGCCTGAGAGAAAAGCCACAAGAAACACGTCTGAGGTAAGTAACAAGATGGAAACAGGGTTTTAAAATATGATACCAGTGCTGAATGTTGCTAGGGTGTACCTTTACACGCCAGCAATATTCGAAATATTTTAAAAGTATGATCGATGGGACGTGATCGAATCGATTCATGTTGTATCTCAAGGAAGGAAAAAAAGTAACCACAAGAAAGAAAAAAAAAAAACAACAGTCACCACAAGTTTTATGCAAACTTTAGTTTTATTAGACAATAAATAGAATAAATAAGGAATATCATAATAAATAAATTGTTATAAATATGTTTCAATTTCTGAAAATTCTAGCTGAATAAATAAAACAGTTAAGACAAATTACAGTTGGGTGTTGGGAAGTTTTGGACGTTTTGGTACTACCTTGTAGCTTATTTGAGAGAAGCTTAGAAGTTTAACATGGTAGCTTGAAAGGCACTGACAGCAGCTTGCTAAAACGTGATTTATAAGAAATATTCTGTGAAATATTCTGTGCTAGATTCCTTAAAAGCCCCCAACCACCTCGCAAACGATTGACCCTACTGTTTTTTTCTCCGAAGCATCCTTAGGTCAAGTTGATAGCCGAAGTGCTGGAGGGCTGGGCGCTTACAGGGAGCTCTCCGGAGAGGTCAGGTAGTTCATCATCCTGTTGATGGTGACCGTGCGGATTCGGAAGGCGTGAAGGATGCTGCAGAGCCTCATCCTCTCCTTGAAGGAGGTCAGTCCTGCGCCGGCTGCTGGCTGCGGCACGCTCCTGCTGCCGGTCCCCAGGGCCTGGGAAGAGGTCAGGGTGTTAAAAACTATCACCGGAAAGTGGTGAAAAGAAAAACCTCTTTAGGTATTTTCACGTCCCGAGGGATAAAGGATAAGACTTAGAAATAATGTATTCTCATAAATGAGAAAGTTTGAAATATTTAATGGTGTAATTAATAGACTTAGGATGTGCAGCTGTACTTTCCTTGAGACAAAAATGTCCATTCAGGCACAAAGGCTCTATCTACCCAGGAGCAAAGACGCTTTTTTGAATAATAAGCCTATGGGTGGCTTCGAGGAGCAACCCCTTAGACTGGGTTCATCCGCCCTTGGGCAGAAACTCAGGGCTACTGGGAGATGCTGTGTCAATACAAAGGCAATTAACCTTTTTTTTTTTTTTAGTTACCTTTGTTAAACAAACAAACAAGCTTTTAACATCTATTCCCTATACTCACTAATAATATTTATCAAAATTTGGTACAACCTATTTGGTATACCAGGTGTATTATATTTCAGTATTTGGAGAAGAAATAGAGCTATGTCTGTTTTACTCATGTTTTACTCTATTTCTGAGTTCTCTGAGGGACTGGCAGAAGACCCTGTACCCCATCTCCTCGCGAGAGCGGAGCAGTGTGAAAGAAGGAGGGCTGCTAAGGAGCCGTACCCCTGAGTCCTGATGCGTTGACCGTATCGGCAAGGCAAGATTATGACGTGAGACACGTAATTCATAAGAATCAAGTATCTTCTTGGAAAAACAGTGTTTTAAATTACCAGACTGAAGGTCATTATTTGGCAGACTACAGAATGGAGCACGCTGGATTGAAAATTCCGTTTTTAAGACAGAAATACTAAAAAAAGGAAGGAGACGGAAATACTTACTTTCATCATTTCATCAATAGATGCCAGCACCTTTGGATCATTGAAGTTCTTCAGCTCTGCCCTGTAGGCATTCAGATCCTCATAGATGCCCTGCAGGCATTTTCTCTGCAAAAGTCAGAATTATCAGGAAATGTAGGAATCTGTTGTTAAGTGCTTTAAAAATACAACAAGCAAAAGAAGAGGTTCTTTTGGGGAAACTTGCAATTTACCGTATCAAAAGTAGATCCTTCCAGTGCTGGACAGTTTCCAATCTGCAAATGAAAGAAGAAATAAGACATGGTGATTTTGTGGAAGCGTGACTTATGTGGCTGTTCCATGAAAACGTGATGCTGACACTTGATATATCATTTTTTAATCTTTTTGTTTTGGTTTGTTTTGTTTTGTTTTTTTTTTTACCCCTGGATCTTCAGCTGTGCAAGCTTTTATGGTGTTGATTTGATTCCTAGTGATATCTTCAAGATCAACCTCTTCAAGGGTACATTCAAATCCCAGAGTGCCGAGCTCCTGTGTTAAAAAGGGGAATGAAAAGGGTCACTGACTCAGCTTCAAGGTACTGTATATATATATAAATATATATGTAAATTTTCACAATTATACATGATGCATCACAGCTGTCTGTGCCTAGCTGAAGCCGAGGAATGAGGCTGTTTGAGGACTATGATTAAATATGAAAGCTAGCAAACAGACTAAGAGACTGAAATGCACGTGGTAGTTGTGTGTAACGGGAATAAGCTCAGGCTTTGCCCAGATTTGTTTTATCTGTTGTTGTGAATTGCACTGCCTCCAACACTTTTAAATTATTCTCTCAGACATCGAATCTATTGAGAACTTTATGTCGCTGTAGTTTTAAATGTAAAGTATCTCTTAAAAAGTGAAAAATAATGCCATCTGCGTAGATATTTAACAGTGCCCCCTGATCCACCACAAGTGTGGAACAACACACCTATTTAGTGGTGATGGTGGGGGGTTTGTGGTTGTCTGAGATGAAGCTTGCAACAACAGCAGGGAATTTTTTAGCAAAAAAAAAAAAAAATCCCCTTGGCACTACTGCCAGGCAGCTTTAATGCAGAAAGATGTTACTGCGCTGCACTGACACCAGCAGCAAAATGCAAACCTAATGGCAAAGTCAGGACTATTTCCTGAGGCAGCTCTGCAGGGGCCTTAGAGAAAGTGTTCAAAACTGAGTGTCCAAATGGGCTGTCGGAGCCTTGCTGGTGCCGCTCAGGGTGTGGGTGGCTCTGGGGGGGCTGCGCTGGCTGAGCGCTGAGAGTGACACCGGAGCAAACCCCCAGCCTGAAGGGCTGGTCAGGGGCAGCGTGAGAGCAAAGATCAGGTATGGAGGGTTAAAGGGAGGCTACAGGGAGCTCTCCGGAGAGGTCAGGTAGTTCATCATCCTGTTGATGGTGACCGTGCGGATTCGGAAGGCGTGAAGGATGCTGCAGAGCCTCATCCTCTCCTTGAAGGAGGTCAGTCCTGCGCCGGCTGCTGGCTGCGGCACGCTCCTGCTGCCGGTCCCCAGGGCCTGGGAAGAGGTCAGGGTGTTAAAAACTATCACCGGAAAGTGGTGAAAAGAAAAACCTCTTTAGGTATTTTCACGTCCCGAGGGATAAAGGATAAGACTTAGAAATAATGTATTCTCATAAATGAGAAAGTTTGAAATATTTAATGGTGTAATTAATAGACTTAGGATGTGCAGCTGTACTTTCCTTGAGACAAAAATGTCCATTCAGGCACAAAGGCTCTATCTACCCAGGAGCAAAGACGCTTTTTTGAATAATAAGCCTATGGGTGGCTTCGAGGAGCAACCCCTTAGACTGGGTTCATCCGCCCTTGGGCAGAAACTCGGGGCTACTGGGAGATGCTGTGTCAATACAAAGGCAATTAACCTTTTTTTTTTTTTTTTTT